AAATGAGATGGGCATCGCTGCCTACGCCGACGGCCAGAGGCCCGCGCATCTACATTTTTTCGCCTGACCCCATCAGTGCCGACCCAACTACACCACCACGCGCATGCCTCGCGGCGGATATGCGCAGCAGCAAGAAGGTTTCGGTCATCCCTTGAGGGTGAATCTAGCCCTGCTCGCCAGAAAGACCCCCCCCTTCACTACAACCCATGTCTAAGCAAAAGCTTGTCGAGGAGCGAGGGGAAGAAGGGAGAAGTATGGCGGTACCGTTTTGGCGGAACTGGAGTACGGCGGTATTTTTTCGGCGGTACTGCAATATGGCGGTTTTTTTTAGGCGGTTCCCGGTACTTCGTTTTTTCGGCGGTACTTTTTCGGCGGTACTGCAAAGTGGCGGTATTTTTTAGGCGGTCGGCGGTTTTTCGTTTTTCGGCGGTACCGCCTTCGGCGGTTCCCGGTACCACCCGAATGTGGCGGTAATTCCCGCCAGTACCGGGACCGCCCACCACGGCGGGAAAAAAACGGCGGGAATATTCCCGAGGTGTACCCTGAAAAAATTGCCCGCGGGCACCATCAAATACATTCTCCGTTATGCTGATATTCGCACCGCTAATACTTCGGCCCAAATACTCCACCGTGCTTAGAATGTCAATAGTATGTGGTGGAACCAATGCGCCAGCCAAGAAGTTTTTTTAAGACTAAAGCAAGTATCTTGCTCAGTCGAACCTGACCACGAAGAGCCAAGGACTAGCACATCATAGCGACAAGGCGAAGGAAGGATACGTTGTTGCTGACGTGGTCATCAACGGTCTGGTATGCATCACGGGAAAACTTGAGATATGCGCGGGAATCTTTCATTTCTGCCCGTATCTCTGAAAAACATTCGATACACCCATGGGGACGAAGATAAGCCATGCACCCACACATTTTCTTACCGACAGAACCACCCACCCAGGAGCGACCTAGGCCTTCACAACCTAGCACCTAACCCCGTCAACACCAACCTAGCTCCTATGCAAGCCATACCAACCTAGGTCGATCGCATAAACACAAACCTAGCACCTATTCATGCAATACCAACCTAGAGATTATCCCATCAACACCAACCTAGCGCCAAATGCCGGCACACCAAACTAGAACTGAACCACGCAGCGCTAACCTAGCCCTATTGCGGACACAACAACCTAGAACTGAGCCACCCAATGTCAACCTAGCACCTATTGGGTCGGTTTGGGGTTGGAGGGTAGGCGTTAGGATTTAGCCGGGTTCATGTAGTTGCTGCTTGGAGGGACAGAAAACTGCGCCTGCCTGCCTGTAGTAGCGAGACAGGTTGAAGAAACAAGAAAACGAATATATGTTCGTTACGCTCGTTCTTCAGACAATATTTCCGTCGGTAAAAAAGGTGTGGGTGCATGACTTAGACTACATGCGTTCCTGTGAGTGCATTTAATTTTTCGGCGTACACTCTCCATATGCCAACAATGAGGCAGGCGGAAGCGAATAAACTCTGCGGTTGACTCTTGGGGTATTTTTTCTGCTTAAAAGACGCCGGTGTGCTTGTCGTTGGTTTTCTCGCAACTTTTGGATGCGTCAGCGTCAACATCACAATTTGGTTCTGAGTGAAGTGCATGAACCTCAGCGACAACGATCGCAACAGAGGGACAAATGGGCCGTTGGACTAAATCTTGCGGCCTATGTCGCAAGCAAGAGAGGTACAGCAGTAGCGCTACGCCCAACAAGCAGACACCGGTAGTCTATACCCCTACTAGATGCTGCTGTGGAAGCCTGGAGGACAAGAACGCTTGCTTACCCGCGTGTGTAGCACGCTGCTCGTAGTAGACCAGCATGCTGGTCTCCGCCTCCCGGTCGGTGGGCACCAGGTCCACGGTCGCCCGGTTCCTGGTAAGAGGACACATGACGAACCTGTTGCGGAGCTCCATGCCGCCGACGGTGAGTGGCGTCGAAAACGTTGTCATGATCTCCGTGGATACTTGTTCTACTTTCGGAGCAGCACAGCGGGAGGGGCAAATAGCTAGCTGGCGTGCTGCTGGGGAGGATGGTGCGTCGGGTGTGGGAGATTTGAGGCCGGAGATGGGGTGTGGGCGAAAAGTGTGTTGCGCTTGTGAGCGCTGTGCGGGCGGATCCTCTTCGATTCCCCCCGCGAATTGCCCCGTTCGAATGTTTTTTATTGACAAACAAATCCATCTCTATAATTATTTTGTAGGGAAGTGACGGATCAAACTTTCAAAAAATTGGTTCGGGGATGGGGGGAGGGTGGCATACGGGGGCTCCGTGTATGTAAATAAATCCACCGCAAAACACTGCAGCGTGGGCCGGCGGCGCACGCACAAGTCAAGCGGTAAGCAACCATGCCCGTCAGGAGGCGTCCTGGCTCCTTCGCGGAGGAAAGCGGACTACCATGCTTGGGGGTGGGTATGTCTCTTGCAATAATCGGGGCATTATGCAGGCCCCGGGGAGCCCAGAGCTTTGTCGTTGTTCCAGGAGCAGCAGTAGGCGGGGTCATTGACGGTACGGCAGCAATAACAGCAGCACCAACAGTGAGATCGCGGGGCGGTGTTGAGCGCTGCCAGCGGAGACCATCGGTTGGTGGAATGGGATTGGAGGTGGTGCTGAGGGCATCCATGGATGATGATGACGAGTTCGACCCGGTGAGTTGGAATGGATGCTTGCAGGTGGTGTTGATTGATCATCCACGTTTGAATTTTTTGGTCATGTCATGTCGGAATTGTACATGGCACACGTCAGCAATTCCTACTGCATTCGACTAAGAACAATATTATACTCCATATATGGAGTAGTTAATAGGAGTATCTCTTCCGCTTCTTGGCGTGCGCGAAAAGCAGCTTGTGCACAGATAACGCGTGCAGCCATTTTCCAGTGTATGGCAGCACGGGCTGTACAGGGCCTGATCTCTTCGCCCACGCTATGCATAGTATCGCGAGGCCTATCATGTGCGATTGGCTGAAAGATGCGGACAATACCACCCCCTGTTCAATCTGAAAAATACGCCGACCCAGCTGATATTTCCAAAGCACCTTTGGATCTTATGTTACCCTGGCCGTATGTTGAGTCTTCCTCCCAGTGGCCAACTCATAAATAACATGGAGCTTCGTGCGAACAAGCATTTGTGGCCCACCTCCCACCAGTCGACAAACACCGCCGGGCATATATCTGCCGTCCTCTCTGAGGAAGTCAGTTTTCGTTACGAGTGTACCATCGTTCGGAGCGTTGAAGCATCTTCAGCCAGGGATCAGGCGCACTTTCCGCTGTAGATGGCTGTGCCAGGCTACTGTTAGTGTAAACTGCGCATGGTTTCGATATTGTACGTCATATAGAATATGGACTTTTGCTGCATCCGCTTACATCAAAGCCGTCAACTGCCCCCATCCGGAAACTCCAACGCCGGAAGCCCTACTGCAAGTAGACGGGACAACAAGCATAATAATAAGAATCCAAGCCCATCGCGAGGATTAACCAACCTTGTTTACAGTGGGATAAGGATGTAAATCTATGTACAGTTGTGACTCCGATATGGTGAGAGGGTACCTTAATCGGTTGTCACGGACTGGACCCGCCATAATTGAATTGGGTTTCCTCTTCTTCCGGTATAGACGGGCTCCGATACACTAGGGTCGAGGGCCTTTGTCCCACCACCCTCTTAAATCGGAGCCACGAGTACTGTAGCTTGGTTTGCCTTCGCGCCACTCCAGGAAATGATTACCTTCTCTTTTGTTGGATGGGATTGTTTCGTTTGGATGCCGACGACCGCATGCATCATGGACAACCAAGACCCTGACAACGCTTGGCACAGGGTTCGATTACATGTTCGACGCTAGGGAGAGAAGCGGCGGAGTCGTTGTCTAATTAGCCAATGAGGCAAGAGCCGCAGGGGGAGGATGAAGAACAAGACGAAACAACACGCTCTCTGTGGAAATTAGCCTTCCTCCTGCGTGGTCTCAAGCTTCGACGATGTTATTACACCCTTCCGGCATTTACCTCTCCGTATCTACATTTGAAGGCACACCTATCATGTGCATAGCGTTGAGTCTGAATATCAAAACATCTGACCCCTTTTCCATCCGTTTTTGGTGTTATGAAGCCCACCTATCATATTGTTGTCCTCGTCCTATGAAATCCGAGCTTCGCACTTATCAAACAACCTCTGGCTCTCCGTGTTTTGATTGTATGTTTTTCACAGGATGCCTGGACGGATGAGCTACGAGAGAACGAAGGCAAGACTCAGGGCGGCGACGACATGGGGATGGGCGTGTCGAACACCGTCAAGAAGAAACGGCGCGCGGACCCGAAATACGTAAGTACCACATCCAACTGCTGCTGGGGGGTTGGGTAGCCTGATGGCCACGCAGAATCGTTTCTTCTACGGGTGTTGTTAGAGGTGTAGGATGGCGGTCGGATCGTTATTGTGTTTTCAGTACGGATTACATGCGACAGGGATGACAAGCAGCAGGCACAGTACAGTATGGCCCCGACTTACGCAGCCGCCGGAACCGTTTCATCACGTCCCGCAGGTTAACGCGGAGGGTGGGGAGAACACCGTCCTTGAGCTCGCGAGCGCGGCTCAAAACGTGCTGGACAAGTGGGATGAGGAGAACGAGGAGGAAGAGCAAGAGAGGAAGAGGCAGGCGGAAGCAGCGGCTGCCGCTTTCATGGTGGACGACGAGGAAGAAGACCTAGGGATGTGAGAGTCGACCCTTTTTTTTTTCATGCGGTGGTGCAGCGTTGTGACTCTCGATACAGTTGAAGCTAATTGTGGCAACTTGTTGATGCCATCGTGTGGTGTAGACCTTAACTTTTTTTGAGAGTATGCGGTGCAGCGTTGACTTTCGCTACGCTGAACTATCAACTTGTGTATGCCGTCGTGTGGTATACATCGTTCCTTTATTGTGTGTGTGCGGTGCAGCGTAGTGACTTTGGATACGCTGAATTGTAGACTAGTTACGCCATCGTGTGGTGTAGATCCTTGTGTGTAGCGTTGTCGCTTTCGCTGCGCTACGTCAGCAATGTTGACGTTGGACGCCATTTTTTCGGTGTGCACATCCTGAAACAGGGGGGTCTCTGATACGATACCGGCTCCCAAGAGCATGATGGAGACTCTCGGAGGAAGCGACAAATTCGACAAAGCGATCAACGCCATGCAGGGCGCGGAGCAGCTTAGGGAGATGGAGAGCATGACCGCTAAGGACCAAAAGAGGGCGGAGATGGAGCAGAGGGGGCTTTCCGAAGAGCAAATTGCTGCGTACTTGGGTGAGGTTTTCCCCGCGTTCTGGGAGTCCTTTTTTGTTGTTGCAGTTGTGGTCATGCAGGGAGTCCTCGTGGCTGCGCGCTCTCCCTCCCCCCTCCATCCCGGTGTAGTGCTGTCTTCCTCCTTGCCTACTCGGCATGTATGGCCTTGTTTGTTGCTGGCATTGTGGTGGACGGGAGAGGGGAAGATGCATCATATGGGAGTATGAACATGTGGCAGGATCAGGAGTTGGGGATCTGTAATCTTCTTTCTGTCATCTGTTCGACAGACCGGTTCGACCTTTCTCGATCTGACGCGATGTTAGCGGTGGGGTGACACCGAAAGATTCCTCTCCATGAGCACGACCCCCATATTTTTTCCGCGGTGTATCCTTTCGAGTAACTTCCTTGAAGGAGAGCTCAATGCTCCTGTCCTCATCACAAACCCGGTTGAAGGTCGCTGAGAAATTGTCTGGGATCAAATCACCAACAGCGTAGTATGATAAATAATGATAGTTGAGTCCTGGACGAACCAATTCCTGTTGCAATCGTCAACTCTGTGCACGATGATGCAACACCAAATAAGGGGTTTCATTGCCTCTTCTGCTGAAAGGGGATGGGGGTCGCCCGGTCGATTCGTCGTCGATTATTCGTCGGTTGTTCGCCGGGGAGCTAGGATTATCTTGTGGCGTCAAGGTCCGAAACATCCCTGGCAGAAACGTTGAATGCATAGCTTCAAGACGATGCACACATCTGTAATACTTTGATTCCCATAGCTCGAAAATACACACCGTGAGAAGTGGCCTCTGCTGTAGGGTTTGGAACTCGCGATACCCGGGTATGTCGGGATCCCGGATGTTTTTTTAGGCTGTCCCGTTTCCGCCCGGCCAAAATCCCGGATTTTCTCGTTTTTCCCGGATTTCCCCTTGTTCTCCGGGAATTTCAAGGATCCCGGACGAAATTCCACGGCGAGAAGCGGCCTCTGTCGCCACCAGTCTGTTTCTCCCAGTGCTGTAGTAAGGCGAAAGGTAGCCGGGAGAACCACCTCCACATCACGGGACCCCCGCCACTTGACACGAAGGCCTGCCCTGGCACCAGTATTGCACACAATTGTGTGGCCACAAACACTATTGTGTGGCCACTGCTGTGCCGCGACAAAAAAGCGTCAATAGAAGAGTAGCAACTCAACAGGCAGCAACTCTAACGACAACGCCGCCGACGACATCATCAACAACAACGACTGCCACGAGAAAAATACAACCGCCAACGACAGCAACCTCTGGCTACTGCTGTGAGCGAGAAATGCCTCAGCAACAATAGCGACTCAACACGCGACACCTCTGTAACGGCAATGACGATGGCATCAACAAACAAATAGTAGCCACTACAGCCGCCGTTGACTGGAATTACTAGCCAACAAGAACAACGGCAGAAGTACAAACGCAGTTACCACATGCCATGGTCCGGAACACGTCTGACGTCTTCCCGCGACAGGCGTAGACTCTTCGAAGGAGCCTCCCAAGTCGAAGGCTGAGGAAGCCAAGGTCAGAGCCGACCAGGCGGCGGCAAGAGCGTTCGAAAAGTTCAACCAAGCGGCTTTCGTCGATTCGAGTGCCTGGAGAGCGGAGGAAGAACTTCTCAAGGTGTTGTACGGTTGTCTTTCACGCTGTAAGGACACCGCTAGGATAAGGGCGCTCCCCGCTTTTTTACGGCAACATTTTTTTCAAAAGTATGGTGCCCTCGCAGAATGTAAAACGTACGATCAACACGGGGGGTGGGGTATCTGAGGACTGTTCCTCGCTTTATGGACGTTACTTTATGTTGTTATATGTCCTCATTGCGTGCTTGACGGGAATCTTGGTCTCACTGTTCTCGCGTCATTGCATGGAGTAGTCTTATGCATCACCCAGCGCGAGAGGCTTTGCCGTCACCGTTCGGGGCAGCTTTGTCCACGGAATATTACCGGTCGTGTGTCTGAGAGGACTTCCTCCGCGGTGCATTCCTGGCTTTGTATTTCGACGCGAGAAGGGTTTGGAGGTTCCTTTCATTCCCTCTGAGTTGAAACGCACGAGCCGGGCGCAAAGTGCGAGAATCTCACACGGCGGTTTGGAGCGCGTCTGGCGCGGATATATCTTAATCGGGCCTGTTCTCGCGTACGCCGAACCTTGGATGCCTCGAGGATGCGGTATTCCGGATACAGTCTCCTAGTTTTTTATGGTTACATGCACCCGTTGCTCCTGTCAGCGGAGGGCCGCGCGTTGAACCCACATTATGGCACACCGTTCACAGTAGGCAGTGTTGTTTGGGCATTGGTTCCCTCTTCAGGTCAAAATGAAATTGTCTGATACAAAAGGATGACAAGATAACGCCCTTCATCCACAAAACCTGTGGTTGCTATCCAGGCGTGGCCTGCGGCACGGCTCGTTGGAGGGCAAAGGGAAAACACGCCTAGTACTTTACTGGAACGCCGCCAGCGGGTGCAACTAACTCGGCATGCGGCCGCCTAGTTTTTCCGGCATCATGAGCTATTTATTGACTGTTGTTGCAGCAACGTTCTCCCTTGTGTTGTGCGTTTTCCCCATGCGGTGGTGCGGTCGTGATCAGGTGGCGCCTTCTAGCAGCCTTGTCAAGAAGGACGAAGACGGAGTTCCAATAGAAGACCGGTAAGCCTCCTTCCCCCCATCTGTGCCTTGGTCCACAAGTGACGGAAAAGCCAAACACGGCGACCCCACCTCAACGGCAGTGTTCGTAGCGTTTTATTTTTTACTATTTATTCGTCCCCGCACTCGTTGTGTTTCTTGAACAGGAGGGTCCTCCTTTAAGGGTACTCGTAGGGTGTCTTCAATATATTTGTCCTGAGAGTGAAGGAGTGTCCTTGAAATCCCCCCCAACCTATTCTTTCATTCCTCGGGGCACCGTGCTTCTAAGAAAATGGCGTGTCTATAGCGGGGAAGACTTGCCCCAAGGGAGCGGGTCACGGGGAAGTGGTGTCTACATGGGTTGGTATAAACGCATCGTGTGCTCATCATGCAGCCCGACAGAAACAGCACACCGTGAGCCCTGAAGAGCCTCTTATTTGGCGAAGCTCGTTTTCTTTTGTTGTCTATAGGGTTGCGTACCCCCACGGCGACTACATAGGTTTTTTATGTAGGCTTCTCCACTGAGGACCTGTTCTTGTGGCCAACTTCTTAGGTTTTGCAAGTTTGAGACCCAAGTTAATAGCTGCTACATACCTGGTATGTTCGTAAGTGGGTGGCGCGTTCCATACTGGAGTATCACAACGTCATATTTTCGCTCAACGAGAGGCCTGTGGCAATACGCGGTAAATATCCTGGGGAGCGGCGCTCAAGTTCAGACTTTTTTCGGCTACTTCTGAGTCATTTTTTTTTCCTCATCCATTTCAGAGAACAAAGAGCAGCATCGACCGCCCTCGCAGCCTGTAAAGCGCATTCTTTTTTGTGTGTTTGGCAGAACAAGATGTTAGTGTCTGTAAGAAAAGACGTGAGTTTTGTAAGAAAAAGACGTCAGTTTTTGTCATAAAATGGCTTGAGTTTTTGTACGAAAATGAGGTCAGTTTTTGTAACAAACATTAAAGAACGCCGTCAGCCGCATACCAGAACGATAGCAGCACTGCTATTCAAGTGGGGAGGGCTAGACCAGGACGACCGATAAGAGCCGCCCTGTCGTCATCATCATCATCATAATCTTGTTACGGATTTTCCCTCCACTTCACAGGTTCGTGTACGTGGACGAGTATACCTGTATCGGGTGCACGCACTGCAACCACGAGGCCCCCTCTACCTTCTTTATGGAGGAGGAGTTCGGCCGGGCGAGGGTCTACCAGCAGGGCAGAGACACGGCCGAAGCGGTAAGTTGCCGCCAGGAGCGTTCCCCGCCGACATTCTGGGTAAGATTTGGGTCTTGAATTGCCGTATATGACAGAAGATATCACGCCCCCTGGACCAATTTGTAGAGCTCGATTACGCCACGACGAACAGGACGCAATAAAACATTATCGGAAAGCTCTCGACGAGACAGCTTCAACGCCACCGTTTTCTGCGCTGTGACTCTTGCTGATGTTGAGAATTCGAGATTTGAAAATCGGTCCAGGGGGTGTGTTATCTTGTATCATTTACGGTGGTTGTCGTTTCTACCCCCTTGGTACCAAGGAGGGGGCACGGATGCTCTCATTCGTTTGCTCGCCGATATCCATATATATTTTTTCATGTTGTATGCTCATTACCACACCCGTTCGCTGCTTGACGTTTTTCATTCGTGTTTTTTGTTGTCTATGTTTGTTTCGGCACCCATTCGTTGCTGCCGTTATCCTTCCCGTTTTCGACTTTGATGCTCTTTGGTGCATATTTTCGTTACTACACCCGTTCGCTGCTTGCCGTTATCCACTCGATTTTTTGCTTTGATGTCTCTGGTTGTTGCTACATCCGGCCTTTGTGTTTTCGGGTCTTTTTGTCCCAACTGTGTATCCCCCCCCCCCCCCCC